TTTCTTCGGAGTGGTATTATATAAACTTTTTTTTTGTTCTTTTGCGAAGATTGCCCCATATCCTTGAACGTTTGCAAATTTTTTGTTCGTTGGAAATCCTTGAACCGTATCGAAATCCACGATGAAATGGAATATTAATTGCAAGCAATTTGTGGACATGTTTGCAATTGTTTGATTAATTGAACATGGATACCTTTCGGTTGTGATTTCGTTTTTTTTTTCTTCTGTGTGTACGCGTCTAATGGGAATGAGAGACACCTTGTCGGTCTCAAGCGCGCAAAAACTTAAAAAGTCATTTAAAACTTTGGTATTTCATTTTCGAAATGGGTACACGAATTTGGTTGAAAGTAGACGCTTAAGTGATGTAAATTGGAACATCACCGAACGAACAGAGAAAAAAACATCACAACCGAAAAGAAACGAATGTATCGTTTGCAAGAGACAAACTCTAATCGAAATACTTTAAGCAACAGAATGCTAAACAAACATACGGGAAAGAATAATAGGATCTCGTTTTAGTGCGCCCATCCGCATATAACATACGATGCAAAAAAAACCTGAATACGAATTGAAAGCTCCATTTTCCATTTTCAGATTTATTTCTGCACACAGATATTTTCTATGTGCTCTCTGCAATGGCTGTCGTTTCTATTCTTTCTTTCTTTCTCTCTCTCTCTCTCTCTTTCCACCTATTTTTAATACAATGGCTTCGAGTGTGATTATGAATTCAAATCGTGTATTCGATATTAAGGCACGACCGATAGCAGAGCTTAAATTCGTTTCAACGTTTAAAAAAACTTCGCTCGAAACCAAAGAGCATGGATCACATATTTTTTTTCTCTCTCAATGTACACACACCTAAGCAAAGCATTGCGCGTTTGAATTTAGGATTTTTTTTCTTCCTTCTTTACGTTTTATCCATTGCCACTCATTTTAGCCCGTTCTTTTTTTCGAATATGATTGGTGGTTGCACCTTATTGAACACAGCAGAAAACTAAAAGCACATCGAATGGATGAAGAAACCGGCAAACCACGATAATTGTAGAATAAATCGATGTGACGGTATCAAAATTAGTGACTTTTCGCTCATCGAATACAAAAAAATGATCATCGATTTAAATGGTGTGCACAGAGAAAGTAACGTTCTCTGTCTCTCTGGTTGCATTTTTCTCGCTATTAGACAGCGTTTGTCATTTTAAAGGGGCATAAAATGTGTCACGTTAGAATGTGTGCCTTTTCCCATAAAATGCCTCCCGTCCCATAAAATGATTCAATAGTTGTCACACATCTCACAAAATTACTCAGATGCCCGTCCAGTTCTTCTTCTCTATGTTTTTTTTAGTTGTACGATGAAATTGCAACATGGAACAAATAGACGACTTAAAGTTTTCTAATTGATGAACGATGATAAATTCCGCCAGAGTTTGTCGGTTTAGAGTGTAATTTTAGAGTGGTGCTTATCAAAAAAATTCGAATGAAGGAGTATGCTATGGTTTCGTTTAAAATGTTCATAGATGCAGACATTTTTGCTACGCAATTGACATTTTTTAACATAAAATTCTTTGCTGCAATTAAAAACCATCAAAGCAAAAGATGATACCGAAACTAGAAACTCAAACAGCAATATAAAAATGTGTTATTATATTGCATAAGAAATGTGATACGGTAGTCACGGCCATTCGCCATTTTTCATTCAACATTCACACCACTCGAGAGATGCACATTCAGCTTGGGGTGTTCATTTCAATGCAGAGAGCAACGCTTCTTTGTACCCTCTTTATTCGCATACACACACACAACCAACCGAATAAAATAAATGATGCTCCTTTTTTGATCGGTGTACAGTTGGAAAAACTTTTAAAATTAATATTCTGAAAATTAAAATGTTTCATTTTGAATGAGATAACATCGGATAGAGAGAGAGAGAGAGAGAGAATGTATAAAAAGTGCACACCGAAAAACTTTTCAACTAATATGTAATGTACAGCATTTTGGCGTGCTTGCTATGGAGTGAACAAGTGCATTGAACTAAAACACAAATGCAGCAAGATGGACACAATTAGTCGGTCACCGATATAATTCACTTCCAACAAAATATTATTTTGAATATACCATAAAAGGTCAAATAATTTTCGTGCATACATTTATTTGCCTGCAATTTTTTTACACCATCATTATACGTTCCAAGTTTGTACAAATCGATAAATTTATGCGAGAGAGAGAGAGAGAGAGAGATAGATAAAGTGTGAAAAAGTTGTTATCAAAAACCATAGCAAAAGTTTGCAGATTATCTCATAATTGTCGCCATGATCTCACCACAAATACTCACCCAAACTTAGATTCAGGTAAAATGACGAGATAAGTTTGACAAAAATGGGTAAAACTGCATTTTTTTTAGTTTGTGTGTGTGTGTTTCTGGCAATAATTGTCAAGCGCAATTTAATAATTTGAAAAAAGTCAATAAAGTAATTAATATCGGCTTCAGAATGAGAGCCAAACACAATATGCACCGTGATGACCTCGGAATTGGAGCGGAGCGGTGATCCAATAGAAGTTGCAGCTTTCAAATTGCATGTCAAACTAACAATTTCATTGAAACCTCCACCGCATCGCCATTTTCAATTCTCGTTCGCCTCACATTTTTGTGCTCCCTTTTTCTACGCTTTATTGCGCAATACAAAGTTTCATCAAACTTTTCATCAGCTTATACGCGATGTTTTATGCTTTAGATATAATTATCAGTGAGTATGAGATTGCCGCACAAAGAGAGAGAAAGAGAGAGAGAGAGAGAGAGAGAGAGAGAGAGAGAGGTGGGAGTTCAGTTTGCTTTGTGTTTGATGTAGATTTTGTTTGGTCACTTTTTTGCCATTGTCCGTTGCATGCTATCTAGCGTTGAACATGCTGTTAAATGACACAAAGATATTAAAGTTTAAATAGCTTTTTTCCCGTGAATCGTTCGGTATTTCGATGTGACACGGTGAAACTCTCTCACTCCTGGCAATCTCTCTTTTTATCTCATCGTCGTTGTCATTCAAATTATGTATATCGTGATCTATGTTTAAACAGTGTATATTTACATGTATTTCAAAGTATACACATTTCATAAACACGATTGAACGTTGAAGCTGCAGCTATTCTACATTAAATCGGATTAAATTACAAGCATCGCAAACATTACAAATGAATATTTTTAGCTGTTGCATTGACGTCTTTTATTCATTTACTTTTTAATTCATTTTTTCAACATGACACAACTAAATTAGCAAATGAATTTTTTGAAACAAAACAGAATGATGATGTGAATACTAATTGCTGAATAGGAAAGTAGCCGGTCGAATTTCGATTATGCGATTTTATATGGAACTAATTGTGCAACGTGCTTTAATGCGTAGAACGATACAATTTTAAAGCGAGTCAGTAAAAGAGTATAGGAAAAGAAAACGAATGAGTGCAGTTGACATGTAAAAAAAAAGAGTATCCACAAAGAAGTAAAGAAACAATCGAATTTCAAAGACGAAAACAAGGAAGATTTGTTTCTTGATAAAACGAATCTCTGCAGCACCTTTCAAATTAGAGTGAATGATGATGCGTTTTTCTTCAATCATTTATTTATAGTTATTCTTATTAAATTTTCTTCAATTTTCCTTTTATTCTTGTTCCATTCAATTTTTCGTTGGTTGATGTATTAAGATTGGCATCCAGACATCGAACGAATCAAAAGGACAAAACGAGAACAAAAAAAGCATCAGCACCAGAAGCATACAAAATATATATATATATATATATATAATAAATAACTCGTAAAGTCATAGTTTCGAAAAATGCTCTGCATTTGTTGAAATTTTACGTTCAATTGAAAATGAAATAGAGGTTTATATATTCTTTTCATTGATTTTTATCAGCTTTATTCTCTTCCTTGTTCTCTCTCTCTCTCATTCGTACTCCTTTTCAATTCATATTCGTCATTTCCTTTTCGTTTAGCAGAAGAATTTTTATGAACTTGATGAAAGTTGTTCGGTTGTCGGTACCAATTCACATATATGATTTGTCCGTTCGTTGCCATTTTCCATTCAGTTATTTCACACAAAATGAGCACATTTCGGTTTGGTTCGATTCAAAGGAATCGCTTGAGCGTAGAATGAACCATACGAACGATTCAAACTAATGTGTGACCATCCGAATGCATGAATAGTTTAAAGAACAGCCGACTAACGCCACACATTCACTATCGCTCCTTTTGCTGTATCGAATGTGTAATAGTTTGCAGTGCTGTTTCTGTTAGCTGCTGCTGCTGCTGCTGCTGTTCCATTTAATTTTTGCATTTTTCAATTTTGAAATTGTAGCGTACCACAGAGAAATATGCACAAGCATAGTTTTTTTTTATTATATACTAGGTGTGTTCCGAAAAATTAAAAACTCTTTTGAAAATGACATTATTAATTAGAAATAAGAAGTGGTGAAATAATTTTATCGCATTGCTGTCAAAAAATCCAATAATGGTGGTGCAGAGGTAAAAATTGCATTGTACTCTCCCAACATGTACGTTTTGGAACACATCATATACTATTGAAAATATCGAGAGGAGAGTATGTTTTTATTCAGACATTACTCAGCCATAAGCGCTGAATAACATACTCTCTTCTCGATTTATTCAATAGATATATCCGTCGATAACGTATACAATCTTGTCCAGACAATTTGAAGTATATAGCATACACTCGAGAAATAAGACGAACTCGACTACCATATACCATTTAGCAACAAAAGAAATGGAAAGAAATGAGCACAGACGAGAGAAATAAGAAAACGATAGAAAAAAATGAGTGCATCGCACGGCTACACATTTCAATGTGTACATTTTATTTGATTCCAATTCTTTCATATGATTGTATTCAACATTTCATTTTAGATTTACACACATATATATATATTTGTTGCCTTCTCTTTTTTCTTTCTCTCTGCTACCGCTTCATCCGTGGGATGCATTTTTGATGCTGCAGTCAATTCAAAACCATTGACTTTTGACGAAGTCTACAACCAAAGTAGTCCAACAAACTGTACAGTATATTGTGGTGGCGTAAATGGCGCATTATCCGGAGCATTGACAGAAGAAATTTTACAAAAAACATTTTCACCATTTGGTGCGATTCAGGAAATCAGAGTGTTCAAGGATAAAGGATATGCTTTTGTTCGGTAAGAATATAAAAAAAAATTACTTTTTATGTATTCATTTCAATTGAGCACATTTTCATATGCGATCGGTCGTTGTACTGTTTCAACCCAATTTTCTTTTCTGAATGTGAGAAACAACAATATGTTATTATATTTTAATTAAATTGATGCTATTAATGTCAATTAAAAAAAAATGCACGACAAACACAACGGAAAAATGTCAACCATATAATTCGCCGGCAAATTGGAATGCAATAAATAATACGTCATTGTGTCTTACGTGAATAGAATCTGTATATTTCAAATTGCATGTCAATCGGATTTGTTCTAGACCTAATTTTAGATCATAAGTTCAAAAAGCTCGCTTACGAATTTATATACATTTATGAATTGGCGTGGAAAGTGTCGCCATCTTTTTTATGTATTATTTTTTTTTGTTTTGTAAAATGTTACTTCGATCGTCCTTTCTTGTTGCCGGAGTTGCATAATGGCCACAATGATTCACCTTTTTCTTTTCTCGTGTTGTGCGAAAATAATCTTTGTCATATTCATATTTTACACGTTCGTTTTCACTGTTGCTACCGTGTAGATTCAACGTTTGAAAAATTATAGCTATCATTTAATTAAAAAGAGACCGTTTTTATATGGCAATTTTACAGTGTGTTAATAAAATTTGACAAAAAAGAGCTGTTGGAAAGCAGAAAACCACATGAAGAACGTGCGATAATGGTAACACCACCAAAAAAAAGAATACCGGTTTGCACACAAAAAACTAGAATAAATGAATGAATAAATAAAGAAATAAACGGTTTTTGTTTTAAAATTATATTGTGTGTCTGCGCGAGCCTGTTTATAATTATTCACGATAAGGTCAGTCGCCATTGGATATGAGCCAGTCGAGTTTGTGTGTATTTTTTCTGGCGTTTATTTATCTCTTTTTTTTTCAACAACAAAACAATTTAATAGAGTGAAGTCACATGATACGTAATCCTGTTTCATGGTCATAAATTTTTGTTGACATTTTTCCCTTTTGTAATCTCTGGCAAAGCGTATTCAATGAAACGTATTTTTCTCATTGTTGACGGCGGTGATGTTGTTGTTTGCTCACATTTTTTCTTGTTGCACTGTACGGAATAAATTTTTATTTAGTGACCGTTGATTTTGTGCAGTGACCTGGATAAATAGGTAAAATCATAGTCATTAAAACAGTTTTTTTTTTGTACCGAGTCGCATATTGCGTATTATTTTGCATCATTTTCACAAATCACAATTCAAATTCAATAAAAAATGTCGTTTTTTTTCATCACTCGTTTGGCACACACACAAAAAACAATAGTTTCTCTACAAAGGAGGCCGCTACACATGCGATCGTTGCGATTCACAATTCTGAAATAAATGGTCAGCCAGTGAAATGTTCATGGGGAAAAGAGAGCGGTGATCCAAATAATGCACCATCAATTGCAAGCCAAGCATTGGGCCAGGCTGGTTTTCCATTTGGTACCGCATATGGACAACAAGTTGCCGGCTATTGGTATCCACCAGCACCAACTTATCCAACAGCTCCGGCTCCATCGGCACCAATTCAAGGTCAATTTTTGCAAGGAATGCAAGGATATGCGTATGGGCAATTTGCTGGCTATCAACAGGCTGGCTACATGGGGTAAGTGCTATGAATGTCATTTAAATGGCAGAAAAAAAACAGCCAACTGAAATTTGATAATAATCGATTCTTTTGAAATCTGTCTCTTTGAAATGCAGAATGGGTGTACAGATTCCAGGTGCATGGCAAGGTGTTCCAGCTCAAGCACAAATTCCAGCCGCACAAATTCCGACTGCTCAAGGTGTTGGCAGTGCTCTACCACAAGCTGCTGGCGTTGTTGCTTATCCAATGCAACAATTTCAGGTGAGCCCACAGGTACATATGGATCACTTTTTATCATAAATTTTTAAATATTTTTCATAACTTTTTATTAACAACAAAATATTTGAACGAGTGTCACATGATTGCTTTTGAACGAACATTTTGAAGTTTTATTTTTTTGGTTTTCGTTCTGGTCCCATAAACTGACAGCAATCATGTACCAAAAGTTTTTTTTCTTCATAAATTTAGTGCCTAAATTCCAGAAGAAGTATTTACAAAAAAATGATTCGATTAAAAATATTTTCTTATTGCATTCAACAAAAAAAAAAAAAAAAAAAAAAACACACACACATACACACACCATATTCATTGTTAAAAAAAATCAAACGAATTTAACTGTTGGATTGTTTGGCTTCTAATTAACTTTGGCAAGCGATTGTTGAAAGTCAAAAATCAAATGTGTTAATATCGATTGATGGAAATTTGAATTGAGAATAATCAAATACGAAACAAAAAAAAAACCTACAACATTTATTCTATATGCAAAATGTTTACTCTTATGTGTTGCTAATAAAGAACACAAATTGAGTTCTTATATAATTTTGTATTGAATCAAATCCGATCAATTTGACGCGCTTAAATCATTTGACGAAAATACATGCTCAAAACTACGCAACTAATCAGTGTTAATGAATTTGTTACAAAATGAATAAATATATTTTATCATTATCATTGTGTCACATACAATATATCATTACGAGCGAGAGACACCGAATGTCCAATTGAATTCAATTGCATTGTATACACACACGGTATTGGGGGGACGAGCATTGGACCGGGGATTAAATAGAGGCAACCAGGCTTGAATGAGCTAATACTTTATTCGATAATTAAATGTAAATGTATGTGCATATATCGAAAATTTCGCAATTTTAAAGCGAAAAGCGTGAGCGCGCGAGTGCGATCACTTGCTCGCTTCGTGTTCATACTGTGTATAAAATCGGCAACGTCGAGTGCTGGTGAGAGGCGCGCTCATAGCATGCAAAGTAGAAAATAATATGTTTTATTATCAATTGACAATGGCTGTGAAGCGCAAAGGTGGCGGCGGCGGTGGTGGTGGTCTCTGTATGCATTTCTATGTTAGTCCGATGCACGTTTTTACGTTCGATGTACCCCAGCTGCGATATGGACTATTAACCATTATGTAATTTTACAATGGCTATCCGGCCGTTTCTTTCTCCAAGCAAATTACATGGCAATTACAACAATGATTTGAGCTGAAACGTGTGATCAACGCGACTACGCGTACAACCGCAAAATACACTTTCTCATTCTATCCAGGCCACTCTAATGTTATTTTGTTTTCGATATATATGCGCGCCAGAGAGCACCGTTTTTTTTCATTCTCTCCCATACATACAAATATTATCATAGGCTAAACACGTTTTCAGACCATTCAAAAAGATGCACCGTATCATATTCAAAATTTGTGCGAACGTTGTAAATGTACATCAAAAATTGAGTGCATACAAAACACACACACACTACACCACTCTCAAATATACAATCGCGCACGCACAAATCCATTTAAGCATAAGTGGATTTGACAATAATTTTACATCAATTTTCCGTTTGATTTCAAAAACAAAATTCATTGCTCTGTTCTACACATGCACTTTGTCATTTATTCTTGCATATTCCAATTTATGATAAATTTTCGAACAAAATATCCCCGCTCTCACTCCCTATCTCTCTCTCTCTATATCAGTTTTTGCAATAAAGTTTGTTTCTCGCGTACGCAACGATATTGCAAAGTGAACTGCGACCAGCCAAACGATTTACGAAAAAAACACGCACAACAACAACACGACGATGCATTGAAAATGCAATAACAATGTAGCAACCATTTATTTATAATATGCAATTTGTTTCAAATCAATAAATATTCCCCTAAATAATATGAGCATGTAATAGTGGTGGGAGAGAGAAGAAAAAAATAGAAATTGAAATTTTATTACAAATATATTCATGGTAGTAGTAAAGTATTTCCATATTGGCATTTATAGCTTGTAATTTTTATTCACATCATTGGAAACATTAAAATGGAATTTTACGCGACGAATTAACAAAAATGTTGTGTATAATATCTGCATAGAAAGAAAAATCGATTCTTTGAAGCGTGACTGGCAATAAATATACAAGCTATCACAAAAAAACTGCATTCACTGAACTGCTTTCACAATTCTTGTGTATCGATATTTCAATTCAAACTGCAACAATATAGTTAGAAAATGCGCTTCGCAGTTGCCGATTTTTTGTCTCTTCTCGAAAATATTTTCTCGAATCGGCTCGAAAACAATTCGTACACAGAAAAAATACTGCAAATGGTTGAATCTAAACGCAATGAAAACATTGAATTTATGTCATACTGTCCCTGCTGTTGATGTGTGTTTGTTTTGGCGCTAAGTTAATTACAGATTCTATGTATGTGATAATCAAATCAAATTAAAATTGCAGCAGCGTCCAAATATTTTTCCGAAAATATATATTGAAATGTGTCATATGTACCTTTGGACGAACACGTATAACTTGCAATAAAATTGTATATCATGCGCGAACACAAAACATCAATGATTCGATGTTATTATGAGTGAGAAATCCCAGAGATATCTGTGTAAAAAATGGAAATTCGAATGACAGCTATGCCAGCTTTCTATTGCCCCTCTCCCTCTCTCTCTCTCTCTCTCTTTCTCCCTCTCTCTCTCTCTCTCTCTCTCCTCATTACATATCTATTGTTTTTAAAGGCGATATTTAAAATGTGGGTAAATACTAGCATCAATGGCTACTGCATCCACGGAATCCTGCATAGAGTGCCGCAAAAATAGAACTGGCGAGAGGGACAGAGAAAAAAAAAAACGTAAACGCAAACACACATAACGAGGAAAATAAAACCGCACGAAAACATTCAAATTGATTGCTGCATTTTAGAAACAATTGTTTTCACAAAAATATAACAAATTTGCCGCCGATTAAAATCTGGTGGCAATGCAATTATGCGGCAGATGGTGAGCCTATTTATTGTTGCACCAACCTATACATAGTGTGAAAAGTCTGCATTTTCGATCGAATTTCATGTTTGCAACACCAAACAAAATTTGCTCTTTCGCCTCTGTGCGAATATTATTGATCGCGATGCCGTGAAACTGAGAACATGAAATAAAAAAAAATTGTTTTTCGCCTCCAAAATCAATTGCATGAATTCTATTTTCAAATGCTTCCGATTGCGTGTGTCAACCTCTCAATTGAAGAATAACAATAAAAAAAAAATGTGCACCTCAAAATTCGATTTCGATTTGATACAGACGAACGCCTTTTTCCAAAATGCACAATTAATACAAATGCCGACAAATAACGAACGAATGGTGACCAAATTTTACATTGTTCTATCCAAATGAATATCATCGGTTACGGTAATTTTGCTTGCCACATATTAACGGCAATAGCATAATACTCCGAATAGATAGATATGAAAGGTGGTCGAAAATGCACATTTACACACACCCGCACACCGACAGCAATACTGAAATCTAATACATTTGGATCGCAATGTGGCTCTCGCAAAATCATTTTCATTGCATACCATCCATAATTTGCTTTACATTAATATCAACCGAAATATTTTCGGTAATTATTATTCGTATAATTATTATCAATATGACCACCGATGCAATTGTTGAAAATGTAATAAATGCTAATTCTCCGGTAATTTATTGATTATATTCGAGCTGGCAACATTGACTGACTCTAATCCAAATCGAAAATGTTTAAAAAGATTTCACGTCTATATTATCGTTACAATTATGGATGTGCATGTGCATTGAAAATGGGCGAGCGCTGCCCTTTTTGATCGGAACGGGAAAGAAACTTATTTTGACCACATTTGGTAGCACAATGCACAAATTCGAATCAATAATGAAGTCCCATTCCAAAGGCGCCACACGCACGTACACCGTCCGCACAATTGATGGCATATAATTTACTAGTTTTTTTATGGGAAAATTAACAAAGTAAATGTACAAATATGTAATTAAATTTGCATTATATATGTATGGGTGTGTACTAAATTGACGAAGGTCATACATACAACATGTGTACACTGAAAAAAATCTATCTCGAACAAATGCATGACGATAAGTTAAAAAAAAAAAAAAAATGTTCGGAATCACATTCAATATTGGATTTCTTTCTTCGATAAAATGAACCAATGGGGTGTCGTTTATTCAAACCGGAATTTTATTTAATACATTTGAACAATTTTTTTGAGTGCACAACATAATGATTCTCGGCATAATTCTGGGCGTTCGCTTTCGCGCATAAAATTGATTGGAAACGGCACAATTCATAAGAGTAAACATGTTTAATTTCTCTCATTTCGATTCATTGTCCATTAAAACTCTCATACGCATTTATTTTAGTATCATTGCTTTTTAATTGGTGTTATTATTGATATTATTGATTAATTATATCGAAACATATCCCGAAAACAAAAATAAAGTTTAGAAATAACGAACAAAAACCAAATTAAGTGACTAAAAGACAATCGAAATATATAATCTCGATGATAATGATTATACGTACTAAATTAATCAAACGAAAGTAAAAAAAAAAAAAATAATCAACCGACAAAACACACAAACTATGATCAATAATAACAACAACAACAGCAACAAATTTGGATTCTAAATGAATTTGTGGTGTTTTTGCAGTTGGCAGATGAAGAATGGTTAGCTCCAAGTCTGCTGGTGTAGTTCCCATGATGTTGGCCACGATAGCATCTTCAGCAGCAGAGCCACACAACAAATGATACAATCACTGAAACGCACTGAAAACAAACACACACACATAAATGAATCTCGTGTCAACTACAACTGAACATGAAATTCATTTAATCGATCGGATCAAACGGAACAATTCACACACAAAAAAAAACATGATTTGTCAAAATAAAACAAACAAAACATATATATACATAAATTATAAAAGAGCGAGAGAATGAAAAAGTAATTAAATATTAAATACAAACATGAATTATAAACAAAATAATGAGAATTTTTCTCTCTCGCAATCATACACCAATACACACAACACACATACACTCGCACACATACACCGAAATATAATGTTAAATATAAAACAGAAGAAAAAAAAACATTTAACAATTTAACGTAGGCGGATATCCTCTTGGGATAAAGATTTAATTAATTAAGCAAATGATAGACAAAAGAACAAAAATTAATCAAATAAAAATTGAAGTAATCGACAGCTAATTGATAGCACTAGACGATATTTCAACAAAAAAAAAGAAGAAATACAAACAACAATTGCATTAAAAAAACACAAGTGTAATAAAAGATATAAATTTAGATAATAACAACAACAAAAATAACATTTAGACGTAAAAACCTAAATTAGTACGAACAAACAAACAATTAATTGAGAATTGATGATATATAGAAAACATGAAATGGCGAGAATATTTTGCAAAATCTAAAAATTCATCTATGCAAAATTGAATAGGATGTTATACATATATTTATATTGGAACCTTAAGATTATTGATTATTATTGATCAAATTTATTATGTGAAAAATAATAAACATTATGACACAACAACGCTCAAAATTCACACATACACACACACACACATACACATGCCCCCTTATACATCATGAACCCAACATGTTATCAATGCAAAATTATTACAGCAACAAAAACGAAATCATTCGTAATATGTAGTTAATTCACAAAATCACACACATACACACATAACACATTCCTCTATTGAATAAGATAAATATTGAAACACACCTAGTTATACATATGTAGAGAAAAAAAAATGAAATAGAACGCGCTTTATACAGACTACAAAAGAAAATGCAGAATATTTCAAAATTCAGCGTCCGACTCTTTTAGTCTATTTGCATTCGTTTTAAGGGATTGTTCGCCAAGAGGAGGATGAGATAGAGCTGAGAAGGATCCTTCTTCTCAAATTGGGAGAAACAGTTTTTTTGGTCAAAAAGCTACTTTTTCATTACTTTCAACGCAAAAATGTCTTTTTTTTGGTTAAAATGATTTTCCTCCTTAAGCAGGAGGATGCTCCTCCTCCTCATTTTCTTCATCACCGTTCCTCCTCCACAAAGTAACAATCCCTGATTTGCATACCCACTTCTGAAAGGATTCCGAATGTAAGGTATACGTCACGTCATTGTTTATTTACCTACTTAAACGAATTTAATATTTATCCGATAATTCATGAAAGCGAGTTAAATTATAAGTTTGATGATGAACATAACAATAATACTGGATTAAAATTATACAAATGTCGCATCTTCGTTTTTTTTTAATTATCAATTAGAACTGGCTATTTAGAGACAAATTCTATTGCAATCATTTCAGTGGCAGACACTGATCGTGTAAAGATTAAATGTCAATAAAAAAAACTGTGCACAACTCGCTCATCTACCAGCACACACACACACACACACACAGCATGCCAAAGCGAAACAAAAGAGAGCTAATTTCTGTGTAATTTGATCGAAACGATTCCGGTCAGTATTCGAGTATGTGTGTTTGTTGTGTGATATGTTGATTGCACTGAATATGGGTCATTTTGATTACGATGCGGCAATCCGTAATTTTTTATGTTCGTTTATCATGCCCATGGGATTAACCAAAGCACATACACACATACAAACGGTGGAGTGTAAACATTTTACGACACACTGAGAGATATTTGTTGTTATAATTTATATTATGATTATTATTGCCATTTATGTCATTGTTGTCGTTGTTGCTGTTTTTTCTTTTGTTTTTTTTTCTCTCTACTATTATTATTATTATTTTTCGTCATGTTTTATTACACAATAAATAGTGCTTTTATTCCGATATTCGGATGGATATTTTATGTTCTTCGGTTGTAATTGACGACACCAAAATGAAAAAGCAAACCGAGATAAAGAGAGAGAGAAAGCGAGAGCAAAGAACAATGACTAAGCTGTCATCCAATATTTTATGTGCGGATTTTTTGATTGGGAAAATTACAATTTGAAAAATAAAATAACGACAAAACGCGCTCGCGCGCGTCGAGCGACAAAGAGACAACGAGATAGATGATGAAAACCGAATAAAAAAAAACCATATGAATCAAAAATACGATAAAAATGACCATACAATCCACATACATTAGATAATAATATTTTATTTTTTATTTTCTTGTGGATTATGTTTTGGTTTTTAGCTTGAAAAAAATATATATATTGATTGAATCGAATCGAATATAAATACATCAATGATGAGAGAGACGTATTTATATACGCGCAATTTTCTTTCCATATTGTGTATTGCATTTGTGAAAATAGTAGAGGATGAGCAAAGCTTTGTGATCATGTACATATTGAACCATTTAACATAATCGATGGAAACCGTAGATAAAAATGATAAAATAATAAATAAAATATGAATGAGAATAACACAAAACCGAAAAACTAAATGATTTAGCTGAAACTATAACTGTAAACGTTAGATGTTGTATATATAAAATTCCAAACCAAACAAAATACATTAGGTAAATTGATTTTTACATATGACAGACGAGATAGAGAGAAAGAGAAAAAGTATATAGCGAGAAATAAAATGGGCGAATAATTGAAACCAAGATACACTTAAACTCACACTAAAAAACAATATTCAATTGAATATACGAACATATTTTATTAATATAATGAAGTGCACCGAAAGTGTTTAGGCCTTGGGCTTACTGAATCGCTATTACAAAAAGAAAAAAAATTCAAACTATATAGAATGAATTTTTAGTAAAAAATACTCAATCTGTGTATTTGAGCCATGTAAAAGAACAGGTGAAAAGAAGTTAAAAGAGAAACGAACAGCAACCACAACAAATCACCAAACAAACAAACCAAAATAACACAAATAACAATGTATAAGAAAATATTTTTGAATCGAAACGTTTCTTCAGATGGAATCAAGGATAAGAGTTAAAAAAAAAAGAAAACATTCAATTTTGAACAAGAGAGCATCTTAGTATTTTTCTACCCCGCGTACGGAGCAAACCAATGTGGCTGATGCAAAATTGAAAGTTTGTCTATGCTTATTCAGTTCGTTTTCGCCTTTTTTTCGTTTTTGTTTTTCCTTTTTCAACCAAACATATTATGTTTATGCAAGTTTATTTTGCCAAATGCGATCGTTTTCATTTAATTTGATTGTGCGTTTTTCTTCCATTTCTTTTCTTTATTATTCAACAAAAATGCAACGAAACTTTAATGATGGGGATTGACCACTCTCATACAAAACCATATACACACACACCCCTTCACAATAAACACAATACCAACACCACCATCATCAACACCACCATCATCAACACCACCACAACAACAACAATGTCAACAACGTTTCAAAACGAGCGCGCATGATAGATTGACGAAAGCGCCTATTCAACCATGGACAACATTTATGGAGATTTCAAAACTCATTCTCCACCAAAAAGCCCACACATTTCAATTAAAGATGTACGCTACTTATCTAAATACAATTCGAAATTGTGCTATCAAGGACCATACGGCGTCTATTAAACATTTTGCCCATAAAAAATCGGCGGCATTTCAAACCATCTCATATTTCAAAAAAAAAAAAAAATTGAAACTCAACGCTGCACACGCATAGCTCATCGAAATACATACACACACTCACTCAGAATATATATAAATAAAAGTAAAATAGAAAAAAATGGATAAAAAAATATCTCATACAAATAGCACTGAATATTTATGACCCTAAATGTGTGTATATCGAAGAGTAGTGCTCTGAAGTCGATAGGAAATTTAGTATAATGTGTGAAGAGAATGAGATATATACAGATATTCATACCATGATGTGGTAATTGTTTAAATTGGAACGGTTTTTTTGCGTTCTGATTTTGGAGATAGCGCGAGAAAAAAAAAACCTAGACAGCAAATCATGCACTCGCGTTACACACGCAATGCGACCAACCACCATCGACAAACTCATCTATTTAATTGCGAATGGATTGTGTTTTTTCTCTCTTATTCACTGTTGGTTATATGCGTTCTATTTGCTCCACCCGGGTCAATTCTAATTTTCAATATGATTTTGATATTGCAGTTTCGACGATCAAACAAGCGTTCGGCGTCTGTCAAATTGAATAATTTATCATTTTGAAATGTACGTATATTAATAACAGTCTTAGGCTGTCTTAATCGAAAAAAAAAACCGAAATCGACTATCTAATCGAAAAAAGACATTTAAATTGATTGAATCACATGATTGAATTGAAATGGCATAGATAATGATTGAACCGAACAGTTTAAACACAGAAAATGAAACGATTTTAAATTCAAATCAGAATTTACTTAGGAATTAATATACATAAAATTAGATAAAAAAAGCAAGCATATTGTTTGTACCAAAATGCATGTTTGATGTGTAATTAAAACAAAAACAAAATGAGACAAAAAAAAAGTAAAGTACAGTTGTGTGTCGTGTCCCACGATGAGTTTTCTGAATTGTTGAAATTAACAAACAAACTACAAATGAACTTATAGTACAGTAATCAAACTCCTAAAATGAAAACTCCAGTTTTATGTATAAATGAAAAACCAAAAACATTTAAACCAAAAAAAGAGAGCAGTAAAAAAACATCCAGACTATTCAGATATATATTGAACATTTAGAACAAATTTAAAATCAAAAGAAATCTGAGCGAACGATTTCAATTACATGCGGCATGTTATAATACAAAAAAAACAAAACAAACAACTAAATGCCTCGCGTCATAGCAAAACAAAATTAAGAAGCACTTTTTGTATGAATTCGTTTTTATTACATGAAATGAAGTCTTGAGCCAACGAAACTAATTTTCATTTCCAAATTATTTTTTTGTAAATTGAGAATCAGTGTTAACCGGAGCTTGGGATCCGAAATACTCTAACCACACACACACACTTACACACTCATTACGTCAAGAGCATCACACAAATCTAACATAAGAATGTCTCTTTTTCTCCTTTCAAACACATATCGATAACAGCAATGATGTTTTTTTAATAGTGTGTGCGTGTGTGTGTGTGTGGTCAGTACAGTTTTTCAAATTGTAAGATCATTTTTCGAAGAAAAACGAGATTTTTTCGTTCTTTTCATTTTTTCGGTTTTTTTAACTCTTTCGAATTGGCTGCGCAGACAGATTATTTAAGGAATATGAAACAAAAAAGCAAAGCATAGTAAAATGTAATGTATGTATTTATAACGAAAAAAAAAAATTAAGCATGAACACTAAATAAACCTTAACTGAACAAAAATACTCATCCCCACTAAAGCAAACAACTAACAAGGCAACCATAAATAACAAATGGAAAATGCTAAATTGTTTGATTTTAAATTGTCAACTCAAGTTTTCACAACATAAATTATCCAACAATTACCAATTTCATCGAAAACAATTGTTTGTTGATGATTTTGTGAAAATTTGAGGTGATAATACCCACACACAACAACAACAACAAAAACCCGTAGATTTAGAATATTCGTATATTGTAATTAACAACGTTCATCAATATCAGCAAATCAATATTTATGCACACAGATTTAATGGCGCTGATGAACGATATAATTGATAAATTATAACAAACAACAACAAACAAAAATGCATGTAGATTAATTAGGTCTTAGCAAATCAATGAACGATTTAGATGATGATTATATTATATTATATATATATACATGAGTGAAATGATTCCTACCAACAAAAAAAAATGAGTGACAACGTAACATAACACAACAGTTTTAAAAACAATTATATATGGAACAACAAACAACGCACACATAATCTCACACTAACTAAATATCCGCATGCATTTAGTAATATTTCATGTTTGGGTTGTGCAACAGAATTCGCAAATGGTCGAAGCAACAACAACAACATTAAGCATATAAGAAAAATGAACACTAAATGGGACAAGAAAGAGAAAAAACCAACAACACAATCAACATATAATTGTTAAAGAAATGTCCAAATCAAATTTAAGATATAAGATTTTAACTCTAGAGTTGATGTGCAAAATTCGAACTTCGGCCACATACACAAATGTCACAGACACACACACACAGATACACATCCGAGGCATTTCAATTGAGCAATTGTAAAAAAGCATTGGATTTTTCACTGACGGAACACATACAGAGACACAAACACGTATACAGAAACTCGAACACAGATTGGAACAGGTAATTAAATCGATTAATGGCATTAAAAATTAAAAAAAATTGGTAGAGTTATGCTCGTTGTAAGAAGTGTCACCGTATATTAAATGCGCTTTTAGTGATTTACGTTATTTATCATATATAGATGGATTTTTATCGTTTATCTCATTGAATTTTTTGTTTGTGTTTTTTTTTTCTATTCATTTCGATGAAGAGGTAGGGACGGAATATAATAGATGCTATGTGATTTAGCATACGGTTTGTTTGTACATGAAATCAGCGATTATTGAAAGAATGAAACCAACAAAAAATAAAAAACATTATTGTGGAGATATTTGTTTGAGAGCTTTGTTTCAATAATTGACAACGGAGTGAAATTTATATGCAATAATTTATGTTGTGTTAATCATAAAAATGTGTGTTAAATTAAACTACGAAACGATAAAATTAAACAAAAAAAAAACTATAAAAGTATATATATGTATATGTATATTTATCCAAAATAGGAAAGGGAACCAGTTACTATATACTTTTATTGAGTAATTAGTAACCAAATGGAAAGTGGATTTTATTTCGTGTTTTTTTAAATATAAAATTGTTTGTAAAATAATTTTCCTTTTCATTGGTGCATATCTCTGTTATTTTTGCGGGGCAACAACCCGGCGAATTCTTATTCAGAACGTGCCAGGTTTTGGTTTTTTTTATTCGAAGTATTTTTTTCTTAAAAAAAAAAACGGTTAAAGGCTGGTTTTATTGGAACAAAAAAGAAATTCATTGGAAATAAAGCTATAACATTCATTAATTCAGTATTGGTTGTTAAATTTAGAAATGTTCTTCAATGAAAATGTATGTTTTTGTCATCCGACCACTTAGCTTTTAATTGTTCGGAGTTCATGGCAGACCGGGTAGTTTCGAGAGTCGTGGAATGAATTTAAGGGCTAATAATACACATACTTTAGCTTAGGATTTAAAGCAATTGCTTACAACCCACTCAATCGAAATAAGATTGACATTGATCCAGTATAGAAATATACGGAGCGCATTATCATTGGCAATTTCATTGTTCGCATTCCGACACATACACTATTGATCAGTTTATATCTCCTTTGCGAATGTGACGCATTCCATTTCGTTGTGCTTGAGACAAAAAAGAGCCAAATACATTTTACACATACACAAACACCGAAACAGAGACAAAGACAGAATGCGAATATACATTTTTAAAGCAGGATAGCAGAAAGAGACATAAATCAACAATGATACGCAATATCGACTATGCGAAAGGTTTCAATTTATATGTTTTATTTTAAGCACATTTACTTAAGATAACTTAGTAATTAAACGTGGCAAAAAAAATCAACTCATGTAACAACAACAATTCAACAACTAATTTTACTAAGATCATGAAAAAAATCCGATTGTTCGTACGAAATCAAAATACAGACCGAAGCAAATGCTCATTATTTGACTGATTTCTGTTATCTGTACACAGCTTTTTGAACAATTGTTACCCCATTCTCGCGCATTCTGCATTAGATTTCTGATTTTTTTTTATTGTTTGAAATTTAGTTTTGGCAATCTTTCATGATTAAGCATTTTTAAAACACACATAACTGACACTGTTGCCGCGAAAACAAAATGATAACAACACATACATTCAATCAGTCATGCAGTCACATGCAACCATGCATACATCTAGATAACATGATTTAGATTATTTTAGCGTTATAGTCTTTAGATAAAATTGCAAATTCAAAATAGAATTTAAGAAAGAGAAAAAAAACACACACTCATGGAGAAATACCCAAAAAAAAACCAACCAAAGCTGTAAATCAACGGCTATTAGAACGGCTGAAAATCAATTATGAATGTTTGAAGCAAAAACCCGAACGACCGAAAATCGAATGTTAAGAGCGATGCAATCGAACAATCACCGCTAGCTTAATCAAAGCCATCAGTAATATTGCAACGCGAATTACAAATATAAACAGCTTGATGACGAATGAAAACGTGTGCGTGAGATTGAGAAAATGTGAATTTTATGAATTTTATCTTACAAACAATATTAAACTAAACACAAACAAACAAAAAAAAAACTATATTTTAGAGAACGCATGTGAACCTTACCATTGTTCAACTATTGATTATTCAATTCGATCAAATTATGATCAGGCTCATTTATACGAGCCGTACCTTAGCTTTGTTAACACACAACGAAACATTGAAAACATAACAAGAAACAACAACATTTTTTTACATAGTGAGAATTGTTAGACGGATTTTCAAGCTCAGTCATCTTTGCGACAATTTTTTTGTATTCACCTGCCAGCCAACTTGCTCATTTTTGTCATGGCATTATTTTTTGTTTCATTATTCTCTTAAATGAATCGAATGCAAGTTAACAAAAATTGATGGAAATAGCATAATTTCACTGTTTGTATGAAAACAAAAAAAGTCCCTATCCTCTTCCGCCCACACACAACATACCAATTCCAATAAATAATTTCCATTGAACCGAATCAAATAGAATTAAAAAATTGACATCACCAAACGAAAAGTTCATCGGACAAATTTGAAAAAAAAAAAAACTCATCGATTCTCCCCGCAAGTTCCGTGATTTTCATTCATCATAACGGAAACTACAAACAATTCTCACTAAATATAGATTAAATTACATGATTTTGAAAAAATACAGAAAATAATCTGAAAATATCAAAATGTCCGCTTTGGTTTCAACGGTTAGTTAAAGCTGGTGACTTTAGACCGAAGGGTTTTTATTTTCCTGTTCAACTTTTCCATATCTGTATTCATTTATTTCTTTTGCAAGCGTACGAGTAACAAAAAAATAATTACGAAAATTATAGCCTTCTTAAATTCCACTTTAGCCTTACCAAACGAAAATAAAAGACAAAAAAAAACATACATAACCAACACAAGATGTGTAAGAGATAAATACCCTGATTTAAAAAAAAAAATGAGAAAGAAAGAGAGACGAAAAGGGAATTGTTCAGTGCAAATTGTGCATATTTTTGCTATATTTATTATCAACTATATGTAGATGGTATGGATAGGGCAGAATACATTCGCATCAATACATTATTGCTATTACGAAGGAAAATTATAGAAAATGGTAATTTAATTTTTTTTTGTGAAGACGACGCACGCAATACCAAACTTCAAGCGACAGAGATATAAAAAAACATCCCTTTTTGCACACAGATCGCATCTTTGAATTGAATAATAAATTCTTCTTGGGAAGACAGTGAACAAAAAAGCTTTATTTATCTGTTTTCATTTACAGTCATCGATTTGATCAATTCTGCTTGCAATCACGAGCCTCGTGAAATGAGTGAATAATCATGTGAAATCGAACCAGTGACGCTCATTCTGAATGAATATTACCAATATAAAACAAAAAAAAAAACACACACACACACACGCGCTCAATCGATACTAAATAAATTGAATTGCAAACAAACTAACAATTGACAAAAATGAAACAGACTCGGAGAGAGACAGAGAGAGATAGAGAACACTAAAGCGGAATTTTAGGATCATTTTTGGATTGGAATTTTTCGATCGAAAACAGACACAAATCCACAATCACCACCCTCTCTTACCCCAACCACTCACTCACATATATATTATATATACATGACTATTAAAAAACAACAAAAGAGCCCAGCAAAATGAAAGCAATATTTTTTAATTTTCTCACATAAAAAATAATGGCATGAAGTAGTAAAACTGAACGAAACAAAAAAAAAATACATAAATGAATAGCAACCATTAGGAATATAAAAGGAAACGACGAAGACGACGACGACGTTGATGACAACAACAGCAACATCAAAGCCCAAAACGAAGAAAATAAACCAACAAATAAGGAAAACAAAAAAGAAGAAGAAAAAAAAAACAAAATTAATGAATTAACAAAGCGTAAATCATTAAATGTACTGTGTAAATGTGTATTTGTTATTGTTAATGGATACTTGTTAATTGAGCATATTTTAGTCGCGGCACATTGACCGTTTCGATTTTATTTTCATAATAATTCTAGCCAACCCCAGATATTATTACAATGGTCTATTTGATTTTTGTTGGTTCGGTTTTTTTTTTATTCATTCTCATTGCTTGAAATATTGCTCTTCTTTGACCAAAATCATTGAAAATGAAATAAATGGTGAATGTGTCTCTGACTACACTCCCCCAATCACTTATAAATAAATGAATATATCTAAAGTAGAATAACGATGGAAAAAAAAGAAATCACACTCAAACAACAAGTGAAATACAAACTTAAATCCATAAGCAATTAATCCGTGGATCATATGCAATTTCGATATGACACAAACAAAAACAATGTTGGCTTTCTTTTTATTTCATATTCATTTTCAATCGAATTGGATCGAACATATATATTATACAAAACATTATATTGTTGCAGCTGAACTGCGCTATATTAAATTTAAAAGGTTTTAGGTTTTAAATACATTTTCGCGACGGTTATTTTACACCATCAATTTCCATCATTTACCGACAAACATAAATTAGTAGCAAGACGAAAAAAAAACAAACAAACAAAAACTATATCGAAGACCGCGAGAGAAGAAAATGCTTGAAATCAAAATCAAAATTAAAAACAACTACAAATAACGAATGAAGGAAGATGGAATTCACACAAACACTCACATCTACACAAATCTTATCACATACACACAAACACTAACAACAAAAAATAAAAATCAGCATAAGTAACCAAAGATCAAAATGAGCCGTGAAACGAAATTTTTAGAGCGAAAATTAATATGAAGAAATAAAACAAAAAAAAAAACATGACGGAACGGGAGCAAAGCGCCACTCGTAACCATCAAAGGCAAACAACTAACCGAATAAAATCCACTGACTTTAGTGATAATGAAAAAAAAGAGAAAAAAAATTAACATATGTATTATATTAACCATATATAAATAAATGAAAGCTATATATATATATTATATATACATAAAGTGAACTATATATATATATAAATTTATCATTAGTTAAATTGAAGAAATCAAGAACGAATTGTTGTCGAATTGAAAAGGTGTGAAAGTCTCAGAGCCTCAACCGATATCATCGAAAGAAAAGTGTTTACTCTTTATCATTGGCATTTTGAGTCTCTTTGGTATAACACATTTTTTTTTATTGTGTGTCATTGGAAGGGCTCTTGATTTTCCATAAGAACATTTTAAATGGTGTTTTTTTTCCTGTGAGCGAACGACCTGTGGGAGCATTTTTGTTCGTTTCATCTAAATAGCATACACACCACACACACACATACTAAATTGTAGAGAAACAAAAACGAACGAACAATGTTAAATAAACGACAACATTAGACGCAAGGCTATTGCGCGAATTGCGATTTATATGAAATAATGAAACAAAAAAAAATACAAAAAAAATGTTAGAATATGAATATAAAATACGGTAAAAATGATTTGATAAATGATTTTGATGGTATAGTAGAGAAAACAGAGCAGAAACACTTAGCAATTAAATGATTAAGAAGTAAAAACAAACCGCAACAAATGGATAACATAAAATTTAAAAATCAATGATTGAATGAGGAGAGAAAATACATCTAAAAAAATGGATTGAGTAGTTGGAAAAAGTCAGTTCTAAAACACACATTGAATCGATATCAAATTTATATCAATTTAACTCACACTTTTGAATAATATCAAATTATCAAACAAAAAAATTCAATGGGGAAAACAACATATAAAAAAAAACTGTAAAAACTCTGAAAAATCCGTGAAACCTGAAAAAATGGTCGTGCTTTTTCACGTTTTTCTACGATTTTTCGTGCTTTTTAAATATTTTTTCCGCAGTTAAATTGCATTTTTTACACAGTTTCGAATATTTTATTTATTCAAAACGTGAATTAATAGAAATTTGATATCCATTTAATATCTGCGTTTTAGAACCGATTTTCTGTCTATGCTACTGGATTGGCATATACATAAAAAAAAAACAAATGATAACAATAATTTTATTGTAATTTTTAGAATTAATTGAATAAAGAGCAAGCACATAATAGATATGACAGCACAAGAAGAACAAAAAAGAACCCATCACAACCCAACACACATCCCGATATATATAAATATATGTATTGTAAATGTATGTGAAGCGATTAAGTCTAGTCCTGTATTGTCGATGATCAATAAATGCTAATTGCATTTGTTGTAATCAATCATTGTACCACACAAAATGTTTTTTTATTATTATTATTGCAATTTTATTTGAATCGTTATAAATGCATTGTGTACGACAGTATGTAATGCTATATTCAATTCATTTCAATGGTTTGATGTGGACGAACAATTTGAGAGAAACTGTTTTTTAATAATACGGAAATCTAAAATGACATGGGATTAAATGCAATTAGTTGGGGTGTAAAAACATTTGAAACAGTATCCTCGTCACCGGTAAAATTATTGACCGAAATACCAATCTAATGTCACCCGATTTCTTTATACTTACTTTGTGCGATTGATACTCATATCATTGAACTCAATTTTTTTAAATGATATTTCTGGTATAAACCACATCAACCAAACACCCATTTATTCCCTAATTCTTCTTTATTTTTTTTTATTTCGAATGTGGCAAATGGAGGCGAAAAAATTCTCTCGTTTTGGGGTCCAGAATCTAAATCTTAAGTACAGGATTAGGATTAAGCGTATATGCATTATAAGAAACAAAATTGTATATAAGAATGCAACAAAAACTAGTAAAGGAAAACCACACACAAAAAACACTCCCACATACATACACACGAATATGGAACTATACGGATAAATAACAAATATTATGCAAACATGTCATCATTTCATATTGTTTTTCTTTTTTTTTTTTTGAAAAAATAAACGAATCACATTCACTCACACAGAGACGCACACCGATTCAATCAAAACAAAATGAAGATGAGTGAGTAACAAATAGAAATATTATTTCGATGAATTTCAAGTGGTTTTTTGGTTTTGAAAATACACAAACACAAAGATTAGCTATTGTGTGTGCGAAAGAAATGTGGAGATTTTACGGTGTGCAATTAATTGATCGCTGTTGCATCACAACTTTATCGCGATTTTCACCACTTTTATTTTTGCAACCAAAGAATCAAAGCAAATGTTTGACAACAGATACGTATAACGAAGAGGAAGAAAAATCAATGAACAACGCATGTTTTATTGAACATGACGAAAAAAAAAATAAAAAAATAAAAAATACATTACATGTAAGAATACGCACACATACTCCATTTAAACGAAGAAAACATCAATAACAAAGGTCGCGGTGTGCATCAATACAAAATCATTTGTACTAATTCATTGAATATGACACAAAAACCTTCGCATCGTCATACATACACTCCAAAAAAACACACACACAAACACATATACACATTGAATATAATGTTAGAGGCAGTTAGAAATTGAACATTTTGCGAAATTATGAAATAAATTAACATAAAGAATGTCAGCCATATATAAAAACAACAACAAAGAAGGAAAAAAACACATTATAAGATGGAAGATAACGGAAAATACAAAGAGATTTTTTATAATTTAAAATATAAAAAAAGTGAGTCAAAATGAAACGCAGATCGTTAGAATGAAAAGAATATTTTATAGAAACATAATTTTTGCAGTTACACACACACACATACGAAAAATGTAAGTGAGAACACGATAAAAACAAACCACAACAACAAAAAATATAATATTAACAAAAAAAAAAAATGAAGAAAAGAAATCAACCACAATGGTAAAATTAAAAGTAAAAAACGAATGAAAAAAAAAATAATTATAAACAACACTAATTAAGAGGAACAGAGATAAAAAACAACTGCATACAACTTAAACAATGGTCTAGTGATTTATGATTTTATCGTATTGAAATATTGTGCATTAAAAAAAAAATATATAAGATAAAACTAAAAACCAAAAAAATGGCTTTTAAATGTAAGGAATAATGTTCATTGGAAAGGATTGATTTGATTGGAAATCTAACAGAAAAACAAAATGCACCTGCACACACACATTACATATATAGAAATCATGATGATATGCGTGTGCTCTTGTTGTGTTTTCCATTTCCATTCAAATGCAATTCCAATGACGAATTATATTAAAACAAATGAAAACAAACACAAACACACACACACAATTCAATTTATATGTATGCATATAGTGAAAGAAAACAAAGAAAAAGATGTATTGAATTATTGACTCCACACAGAACTGCACATTTCAACGTGTTTGCAGAAGATGATGAAACCGAAATTTAAACGAGCAAAAAGTAAAGAAAATCTTGTCGAAGAGAATGATGTTAAACGATGCAACATGGATAAAAGATATATGCAAAAGCATCAGCGCAGTGAATATGGGTTTTCAATAAGGAGATATATAGTTTAAACACACACACACACAAAAAAATGATATAGCAAGAAATACAAAAAAAATCATTGCAAAAACGAACGAAAAAAAAACTAAAATGTGCAAAATGGACAAAATTGAAAATTGTTAAATCTTTCTTTTCTAATTTTATAATTTGGGCAAAAACAGATAAAACATTTTTACTGCATACCGTTGCTTCTTCTTTGCCATCGGCTTCTGAATGAACATCCAATAGTCCATGTGTGGGTTTTTTATGTGTGCAATTGTGTCTGCGAGCATCTTTATCGATTGTAAACGGAACATTTTTATGAAGAAATTTGAAAGAAAACGATTAGCCCATCAAATTTGCAATTGCCCATTTATATGAGCGCACACGCACACGCACAAGTTATATTGTATGTTCAAGTGGTAGCTGCTTGACCACGAGAATGCAATCGTAAGCAGTGAAATATCAAATGATGCAAAGAAATGATGAACAAAAAAAATATTAAATATAATCTAATATGTATTTTAACAACAAATGAAGAAACAACAAAAAAGTATTTAAACGATGCAAATGAAAGTCCGCCATACGTTAAATGAAGAAAATCTTATAGGACGTGCTAATTATTAGGTATAAAATATGATATATGATATAATATAACATAATACTATATATACAAACAAAAAATTATATCAAGTAAAACACAATATGGTGGAAGCAAATAAACAAACCATACAAAAAAAAAACACAGCGCTGTGTTTCATTTCAATTGATTTCGTTTTTTTGGTTTTAGAACTCTGGAATTCACACATTTTTAGATACACACTTGATTGGATCGCATGGTTTGTGGTTAAAAACATGTTCATACCATTCTGAATTCAAGAATACTTTGGTTTGAATTGTAATGAGGTAAGTTTCAAACACTTTTCAGAAACGTTCTGATGTCGGATCTACTCTCGCCGAGAACATATGTGAGTACTTATGGGTGACTACTTTTATTATAATGAATAAAAGAAGCATTCTTACGACCAAAAATATGTAAAAAAACGATTTTTGTCGACGAAGCCAAAAAAAACTTATATAAAATGTTTTTTTTTTATCTTTCCCATATAATTTCAATTGCTGAAAATTTAAAATCTACGAACTCTTATACTTGAA